TTTTTTCTCAAAGCCTGGTGAAATCACAGGTGTGCATCGTTTTTTTCCAGCCATGGAGCCCACACGGAAAGCCAAAATGAACATAGTTTTGGCTCGGTTGGCAAGGATGCAGGCTCCTAAGGCCAGGGTTTTCATTTCCACACATGTTACTTAGCTAGGTTGTTAACCTGTTCCCCCAACAGATTTCTTGCCTACCAACACAACCTTGTTTGTATGTGTTGTCCATAGTTGTGCCACGCAGGCCTTACTCGCTTGCATTGTCCTTCTATGCTCCAATCCAGCGGTGGAGGTCTTCCAGGAGGAACGTTGTTCCCAAAAAAAATAAATGGCCGAATTGGAAATGGCATCAACTAATTCTGAATGATTGCTTTGGGGGAACCTAACATTCCATCTGGTACAATGGCACTCAATCCCATGGGTTACCACAAAAACATATCACCGTTAATCTGGGGTATAAGATGTGTGTGGGTTTGCAATCATGATTTTTCAATAATACAAGAACAGTGGTCACACCTGTGATTTCTCGCTTTTCTTTCGAGGTGTTTTGGTTGTATTGGTCCCCCCCTGGCCCAGAAATTTGATGTAGTGGAACTGTTTGCTGGAAAAGCATGGGTCAGCCGTTGCATGAAGCAGTGTGGCCAATCTGTGGCATCATTTGATATAGACTTTGGGGAACCACTGCCTGGAAAGCAAAATGCTATGGATTTACTCTCTGATGCAGGTTTTGCGCTGCTTTGGCTATCCTTTAAAGCTTACATGTTGTATGAAGTTTGTTGCATTAGTGTACATGATTAGCCACCAAGAATGAACAGGTTTTTATTTCACCATTGTGGCTGGAATGTTAAGGTTGGCGCTGAGTACAATCTTGAATTGCAAAATGGGCAGCTTCCTTGCCGTGATAGCACTGGTCTGTTCTTCTTTTGTGTCAATATCAGCTGGCACACACAGACGTGCCCCTTGGGATCCTTATGGTCAATCTCAAATCCCAATGGTGGAAATGGGAAACCGGCTGGCTGGAAGGAACCTTGTTTAAGTTGTTTTCTTTTTGGGTTGTACCCCAACATATTTTCAACAATATCATTAGTGACTTATGGTTTTGAAACATCTTCCAACATTGGTTGAGAAATGGGTTTCACTAGCTACTTGGAACCCTTCATATCCCCACCAACCACTACTAGTAGCATGAGCACCAGTGTTGAATGGATGTTCTGAGCGGGTCCCTCTCCATATGTTCATGCACGTATATTTACCATGTGTTTCCACAATTTGTTTGCCACCTGTGGGGGATGTTGAAATGGACAACAATTCCGGAACCCTTTTTAAACCAATTATTTCATTGAGCATCACCAATGAAAACAAAAATCACAAATGGTATTCCCTTCTCCCCAGTCTTAAATACCGTATGGTTGCCGAAAAAAAAGATTTAATACGAAGCCACCTTATTCATAAATGATGGGAATAGATCAATTACTTATACTCAACTTGTTTGGCATTAAAAAAAAACCTATCATAGATTCCCCCACCAGTCGTCTTGGCCAAGGGTGTGTCTACTGATCCTCGTGATATCATCCATGGATGGCGCCTGGTTTCTCGAACAACCACGCTCATCAGCCTTGGAGTGGCTGCCAGAGGTGAGGCAACTCTGGCGCTGCATACCCAAGGACAGGGTGGATTGTTTATTGCCTGTCAATACAATACATTAATGCAGAAGCTTTCACATTCTGGTTGGCGTGTTGATCCCACAAATGGTTTGCTGTTCTGTCATTGGATCTGTCACCACCAAACTATGATAAACATGTTTAAAACATGGGATTGGGTATGGAAGGGATATGTTGGTTTAAAGTCCCATCAAGCTCCGAACATCAGTCAAAATTTTGTTCCCCGCACTTTGTTTCCAAACGGTTATATTACAGAAAGGTACATGGGTGAGGATGACAAACAGTATGAGGGTAGATCACCTAGTGTAGAAGGGATAAAAACACAGAAACACAACCACACATGATTTCCTGGAAGTATGTGAGCCCTGAGGTGTTCTATGCATCTTGGTGGATGGGGCATTATGGTGCTGCTACATTGAAGCGTCACATTGCTTGGTCAAATTGCAAAACCATTGAATGCCTGAACATGGGGGTCATGGCCAGGGAGGTACAACAAAGGTTGTTCCGAAATGCTCCAAAATCAGCACGAACTTACAAAACGAAAGATGGCCGTAAGGGCTATGCTGGCACAAAATTTCTTAAAGGCACACAGAATCTTGTTATTCCAACTGGTTGCGAAGTGTTTAGTTTATATTATATGTTCCTTTTTTGTTCCCAGACCAGAAACATATAAAGGAATATAATATATCCGGAACCATGTGCGTACTCCATCTAAGGACCTATCCTCCTCGCTTTGCGCTCAAGTTGGTACGTCTGCTTCCCCGTTTCATTAGAAACAAGGAAGCGTTGCCTGATATGGGGCCCCCAGAGCTGATGGCTGATTCTTTCACCATCTTCGACCAAGTTGAATGGGGTGATTGGTGTGACCTTAAAACGGTCTTCACATACTTGCGAGGAAGCATAGACCTTAACCTTGGGGAATGGAGAAACTATTTTCCTACCCACGTTTAATTCGTATATATATGTTGCTTGGACATCACTGGGCTCCATGGATCTCTGGCACGCAGCTAAATGGTTTAGGCTTCAAAATTGATTGGCAACCTGTGATATATTTTCTTTGGTGACCTTCAAAATTGACAGCCTTAGATCTCTGTGGGTCAAATTCGAAAGCTTTTGGTTCTGATTCAATTCAAACTGAATGCAGCCTCAACATTATTGCTTGGTGCAAAAGGGTCTCATTGCTATTCACTAGGCTTGAGGCATTCCAGCTGGAGCTGGGGACAGCTACTCTGGTGTTTTATGGACTGGGGTCATGGGAGTGGTTTGGGCTGGATGAAACATAAGAGAATTTGATCATTTTTGGGTGCCAACTAAAGGATTTTGAAGTGATTTGATGGATTTTTAGGCAATTTTAAAGATTTTTAAACGAAATCCTCAAAATACGTACCGGGTACGGACTGGTACGTACCGGATCCGTACCGGATACGTACCGGAAATCCCTACCCGTAAGAAGGCCATATTTTACCCGTAAAGGGCCGTAAAAAGCCGTACTGGAATACGTACTATTTCCGTATTTTGGCTATTTCCCAACATAACCAAATTTGGGGAAAAAATTGCATTTTTGACGGAAAAAATGAACATCTGAGTGATTTTGTCTTGGATCTTGATATTCTGGGTCCCAACCACTGATGTTACCCCATCGCTGCTTCCAAAACCAACCCATCTTGGAAGTCTAGGGATCCTGGCTCAGAGTCGCGCAAAGCAACCTGGCAACACTTGGGATGGCGGTGAAGCGTGAACGCCCTGTCCCATCCAAGAAATGGTCTTGCAGTGAACTTAAAGATGGTCAAAAGAACTTGCTCAAAGTGAAGAACGAGAAGGAAGATGATCTTGAAAGCAAGATTAAGGAGCAAAATATTGTTTGTTCATGGTATGGATATGTCTTCTCAAGAACTTGATGGAAAATAAACGACTTTGAATAAGTTATGAGGTTTGGATATCATTGTTATCACCTTCAGTCCTGCCATATGGTCATCGTATATAGTGATTTTTTGTTTCTATGCACCATTCGTAACGCTAAAGTGGCGGGATCCTTGCCACTTTCCCAGGAGTACGAGCGTCAACTTGGAGACATGAAGCGCTTGCTAGCTTCTTAGCTACACAAAAAATGTTTATCATACCAAATTTGATAGGGTTGAGGCTGAATGGCTATGTGTAATCTACTGTCTAAGAGAAAAAATATTGAGCATTGATGGCCACGCCTCATGGACACCTGATTAAATGGGACAACTTTTCGTGTTTTTATGCTTGGTTTTGTCACTTATTTAAGATATCTAAGGCTGAGGGAGGAGATGCTGCTGCAGGATTTGCAAGTCCTGATGAAGACACGCAACCGGCATCTTGGTGTCACTATATTTTGGGGGAGGGCTCTCAAATTTTGGTTGACTACAGTAATGGTGTACAAGCTGTTACACACACATCATATCACAGATAGCACATGGTTTTAGATCAATCTCAGGCAACGGAAGAGGAATTGGCAAAGAAGCGACCTTCAGCTAAAGCCAAATCACAACCCAAGAGTGCTGCTGGCCCTGCTGGTCAGAAAGCAGCAGCAGCCAAGAGTAAGCCAGTTAAGCCAGCCAACCCCCCAGTGCCAAAGGTCTCGCAGAATGCATCCCCGGAGAAAGCATCCCCGAATCCAGCTCCCCACAAGCGTATCAAGGGGAAACAGCCAGATGTTGAAGCCGACCCTTTTGTGATCATTCGGGAGCTTCAAGAGGCAGATTGTACTGGGATAATCTTATAACATTGTGTCAAATAAAGCCTTGTACTGGTTTGTACATGTTGATGAACTAAATCTATTTAAATTTCCCATAAGACCAACTAGATTCCCTATGGTCGGTACCCCTGGAGGCGAACAAGAAAATCATGGAGAAGCTGATGCTTGCTGAGACAAAGTCTTCTGGTAAGACTGCTAAGATGAATGCTTTGGAGACCCCTCCTCCTAGAGTTTCTGGACCCACACCGGCTAGCACACCAAACCCAAAGGTATCCTCTTCTCGTCCCAGCAAAAGTGGTCCCGTTGCTCCCCCACCAGAGCGCCCGCCTCCAGCCACGGAGGGTGCCAAGCAGAATCGGCTGCGTCGCCTTTGCGAAAAGAAGCCGAGTGGACGATGCAACGTTCCACCAGAGATTCACCAGAAGTGGCTGCATGCTAGTCGGGATGAAAGGGATGCAATGATAGAAGAACTTGATGCTGTGAGTTGGTCGAAGGACCGCTTAGTAAATGCATGTAAACACATTGGCAACCAAATATGGTAAATCTTGGGGTATCATCAGTGGCTATGTGTTTTCACTGGTAGATTCAAACATGTATCACCCTTGAATGATCTGGTCATGCAGGACATGTTCATCTCAAGGATGACCAAGACAATCTCCCAGAACAAGAAGCTTTCACGCCGTCAAAAGAGAGGATGGTTCACGAAAGAACAGATGAAGTCAACTTTGAGTTGGTCTGCGTCGCTAGCCAATCATACCTTTATTCACCATCCTTGTCAGTTTTGGGTTAGGTACACCTTTTGTTTAAAACACATGTGAAAACTCATAACCCCTTTCCCCAAATATTAGATATATATGTTATACCCAACCCACAAGTTAAAGATTGTATCTTGTCTTAGTGGTTATCTATATATTATATATGTGTGTGTAACATTACTATTAGATCAAGGGGTTTGGTTTATCAACTCTGGTTGAATCCTGGTTCAACTTTCCCTGGCAGTGCTCTTGCGTCCCAGGTCTTACATCAAGAATGCGGTGGACTATTGTGAGAAGCCTGGCAATGAACGCCTGTGCAAGACTCTCGACTAAAGTATATACATTCATATCTTGGTTCCTTGGGGATTAAACCTGAACATATTCAAAAACTGGTACCAATAATGAATAATCTGAATATCACAACCCACAACAATGGGGTTCAACATGCATCATCCAGTTCAGGGTTAGATTGAACATGTTTTTCTTTAGAGCTTTCATGTCATGGATGACATATAAACAAAAGTTATATTATGTATATGGTGGCCCCTTAAATCTTATCTAAGGCGTGACCGCTACAACAAAAAGCTCAAGAAGTACTATGTTGTGTACCAGGAGGATGAGGAAGAACTGAGTGAAGATGAAGAACGCAGAGAGCACACCACCAATGAGGCCCTTCTAACTTATGCCCATCAGGTATCTCCAAGTCCTTGGGTCACCAGGTTCCCCCACCATAGTTCTTACCACGGTTCTTCGCACCAGCCTTGGAACAGGCGACGGACACTGCCCTGGAATTCCAGATGCTTGGTCGTGCCGCAGAGGAGGAATCTGGATCTGAGGATGAGGATTCTTCGAAGGAAAAGGATGCAAAGTTGGCCAACAATGGCTACAAGGATTCCTTTGGTAGATGTGGTGTGCATGTGAAATATTGGCCTGAACTATTTATATAATTGTTTTTTTAGTAGAGTCCACCCATCAGCATTGGTAGGAGTACCAGAAGTTCAACACGTTTACCTCCAGCTTGCTGACTCGTTCATCCAAGCTGACTGAGCTCATGTCCTCTTTGGAAACCGAACTTGGAATTGCAGAGAAAGATGAAACGACATCGGATGGCAAACGTGTCGCAAAGTTCTAAGCTAAGTATGTTTGAGCTGCATAATATACCATAACAGCATTGTGTTTCCCCATGGGGGCAGCCCTCAATACAAACGAGCCAAGGTGCGTCAAGGAGTTGGAGTCGTCGATCGATATCCTCAACCAGCAGTACGAAGCCTGCGAGCTGATCAAGTATGATGTCTCAGGTTTGTCCCAGGCCAATCTTGGAGAGACTCAGGAGAAGCAGTTTCTAGGCTTCTTAAAACTTCTCAAAATCGTTGAAACAACAGGCCCACAGTCATTTTCCAAATATCAAACATGGCATGGAGGGTTCTCAAAAAAATATCTTATAAGTCCAATCTCCATAAACCTTGACCTGAGGTTGGTGGTTAAGATCGACAAGCAGGTTCGCTCCACAACCGCAGCGTGCCTCAACTGCAGAAGTGAGTCCATGGAACCTCCAGCCATTGGTCCTCCGGCCAGTTGATCTAAGGTGCTCAAAGGTGACAACAACAGAAGTTGGCGCCAAGAATCTTGAATGCAGCATGATGCAGTTTTATTGGTTACTAAACACGGACTTTCCAACCGTTCATCCTATCAGAAGTTACAAGTCAATATTAGGAAAGAAATATGTTACTATTTTTATATATGGTAGGTTTCACTATGAAAAAATCATTGGACAAATATATACTGTACCCATTTCCTGCCAAAATTTTCCACTGCTTAAGGAACCTGCTCAAGATCCTGAAGAAGGGCAATGAGAGCTGAGTTGCTCACATGTGTCTTACCTGGAACCTTGGTGACCCACAGATGGGGGTAAACCTCCATTTGGTTTTCTCAAATTTTGATTTAGATTCCAAGCGGCCACGCATAGAGCAGCTTCTATGTGTGACAGTGTGACATGTTACATGTGGTGGTCCGTTCCCACCTAATCTTCAGGGGTACATTCAAACCCAAGGCTGCCGACAATCTCCAACCAAGTAGATTTGCCAACTACGTTTGTTTCGGGATATAAGGGAACCCACTTCAAAAACAAAAACAAAATTCAAAGAAATGATTGTTTGTGTTTTGTTTTTCTTGATGGTGGCCATGGGTGAGAATCTCGTGGGGGTTCATCCATCCCTGGTGATTACATCAGGTCGAGTTCAAGGATGAATGCGTGTTTGCAACAATGCAACATGCCTTATGTGAAACTACTGTCGATACCATAGTGAAGACATGGAGAATGCCGAGAATGGAAAAAATACCGCTAAAATCATTTTCACCAAATCAGGTACCATATGTTCTTTGGTTCTCCATCCCATGCCAGGTCCAAATGATGTGGATCCTGTCCTGGCTGGCTTTGCGAAGCTCATAGCTCATGGAGCCGTGGCCTCATGCACTCGTCCTGCACCGTAAGTTGGCTGAGTGTTTTGTTGGGTGAAGTCAACCTCCTATAGATGTGAAAATTTATTGGCCCAGGCGCTACATGCACACAGGATCCCACACAACATCTGATTGAATCCATTGATTTCCAAAATTAATCTATATGTAAAAACAATCCACCAAAAAAATGATAAATGTTTTTCTCTAGTATGCTATGGGTTTCTTGAGAAAAACATCAATCGGGAAATGAACATAGCTATATACCACATATTCTTACCAACCACCGACTCTGGCCATGGATGATGATGATGATTTGGTGGATTTGCTTTCCTATCAATGCCCTTTTACTGGGAAACGTCGAACTGCTGGTTGCGAAGATGGCCAGTTATATCAAAAGCATCTTGGCGGCATGACATGGGGTCTGATTGGCATCATTTTCTACAACTATGGGGGGTAGTTTGTTGGTTTAAAAAACACGTGACTTAGGAAACGAAAGAGTGCTGATGATCAAGCTGATGGTCCAATTTCCGGCCCAGATGATGGGATGTATATGGATTACATCAACCGAAGTCAACCATCTCAAAGCGACCATGCCCCAAAAGCTGCATCTCCTCCCAGAGCGATCTCAGCGCATCAAACCGTTGCCATGGCAACTTAATGCAAAGTTGAATTGATGTTTTGTTTTGTGTTTTTCAAATGCCAAAAAATATAGCTTAATTTTGAAACCTTAAACGCATGGGAAACCAAAAAAATCTAAAAACACTGGTAATCCCTTCATATCCCTTCGATTGCCTGAGGATGATCGCCTTCAGCTGCAGAAGTTTGCCAAGTCATTTTCGGCTGATTCCTTCGATTGGAGCTTAGTGAGACGCATGAATCTTTTGAACCGATGCCTGCCAAGCGGCCAAGCTGCGAAAGCAACTTGTGGCAAACTTTTGTCACATTGCCGGGAACAGACTATTTGTTTCCGTGAGAACGTTGGTCTTCGACTTTGTGTTTTCAAAATCGGGGTAACCGCTAACCCCATCACCCGGTACTTGGACTATTTGGACCAAGGTTACCAAACCATGTGGCTGATAGCTGTTTCGCAGAGTGCTGATTTAATTCACATGCTCGAGGCAGCCTTGGTAATGGAGTTTCACAAACATGTAGGATGTAGGAATAAGGAGGGCTCAGGAGGTGAAGGTGCACTTAATAAAAAAGATAGGGTGCCACCACCTTACTTTGCCTATGTTACAGGGGGTCGAGCTGATCAACTCCGAAGGATTGGTTAGCACCAAGACTTTTTGGTCGCCGGATGATGGGTCAAAATCATTGCTGAGCACTTGCTGGCCTGTTGCAAGTTTTTCAATTTTCATCAATTTTCCACATGTCATACTTCAAGAAATCAGAAAAAACCATTCATATACTGCCACCCAGCATCACCCAGAATCACCCAGCATCCCCAAAGGGTTTTGCATGTGTTGGCAACTTTTCTCGGCGCTGAGGCCTGTTGCAAGCACGTGGTGGAGACAGCCAAAAGTGAGGTTGAAACCAACCGAAATGCTAGCAGGGCAACGCGAGAGTTTGCAGCCATTAGGCTGGAGGATGCAGAGGTTGGTGTTCGCAGGGTTCTCGTTAAGTACTGTTTAACTGCTGCAATTCCAATTTCTTGGATTGATTTGGGTGAAGAGCCCCACCAAAAGAACTTTCCTTGGGTCAAATTGTCAAGCTGGGCACAGCACCTCTTAGACACTGGCCTTTTGCCACGTGTGCTGGTTGGCGTGAATGACTTTGCCACTATGAAAATAGTTTTGACTGAATTTTGGTCTCGCTATGAAGAGATGGATGCTGGCCACCCTGTTTTTGCTTTGGAAAGAAATGGCATCGTTTGCCGTGACCGCTTGGTGCCCTTTTATTCGCACAGCGATGAAGGTACAACATTTCGAGATGCAGCCTTGTGGGTGTTGAATGTCCATGGTGTCATTGGACGTGGCACCAGATCTTTTTTGGGATCAGGGAAACACCGTGCTCCAGTCCACCGAAATGCAATGGGCTTGAACTACCTTGGAAACACATGGGGCACCCATTGCCTCATTGCGACAATGATGAAATGCGTAGCTTCACCGGAAACTTTGAATGTGTTGCTGTCTGCCTTTGCAGCTGATGTGAAAGAGTTGCTGCATACTGGGATCACCAATGGTGCCGAGAGGGTATGGATGTACCATCTAGCTGCAAAAGGTGACCTACCAGCACTTTCCAAAATTGGCAATCTACTTCGGACTTTCGGGCATGCTCCGAGGGCAGCTCGCTCGAGGAAGCCTTGCAGAGGTGTTTGCTGGCTTTGTCTTGCTGGCCAAGAGCGAGATGATGCACATGGTCGTGAAGCTTTTCCTTTTGAGGATATGTCGATGTCACCTTGCTGGGAGCCTACCATTTACAAGGAGCTTCCGTGGGTAACGACTCCGAAAATCTTGGAAGGCCTGGACCTGGACGATGCAAGGGCAATTGAATTCTTTCAAACCGATTTCTTCCACAATGCCCACCTGGGGACACTGAAGAGTTTTACATCATCTGCTCTTGTGAGCTTTGTCGAATCTGACCCTCCTTTGCCATGCCTGGCGCATTGCAATTCCGTTGAGGCAAAGTTCCAAGAGCTGACCAGGATGTACAAAAGTTTTTTTGCTAGCCGGGGTTGCAAACCATGGGTCAATGAGCTGAATCGTGACATGGTGTGCTGGCCAATGTCTTCTGCTTGCCCAGCGGCCAAGTGGAACAAGGGCATGGCAACAGTGCAGATCATGAGGTTTGTCGATTGGTTTGGAAAAACCCACCTTGCTGCTTCCCGGGATCCTGTGATGAAGTCAATCGCTCTTGGGTTGCAACAATGTTACTGTATTGTTTTTTGTTTTTCGTATGTGTGTTTTTTGTAATTTGGATGACCCAAAATTTCCAACAAAGATTGCATGGTTTTGGTGATGGGCCTGCTTCTGTTTTCAGGCTGCTGGTGCAAAGGCGATGAATGTGGCAGTGACCTTCCTCTACAACAATGGCTTGTGGCTGAGAGCTTCCAAGGCCAAAAAACTGTCTCGGTGGCTATTCTGCTTCCTCGGGCATTATGCCATTTTGGCACAGAAGACTTTGGAGGCAGGCAAACGCCGCTACCCAGTGTATCCGAAAGGACATATGCTCTGTCATGCTGCCTTGAAGTTGCTTCGCCTTGCTGAAAGGTGTCGCTGGGTGCTGTCGCCAATGGCGACAGCATGCCAGCAACAAGAGGACTACATTGGAAAGCCATCTCGTACTTCGCGCAGAACCAATGTTCGTCAAGCCCACCGAAGCATTTTATGGAGAAGTATGATTAACATTAAGGAATCTTTGGCCCAGGCTGAAATTGATCAGCGTGGCATGGATGCATACATGGCTCACTGATCCCAGTGATCTATATGTGTCAAAAAACAATCATGGCTGTGCATACAGAGCGAGTTCCAATCATATTTGTTTGCTTTGTTTGGGTCAGGATCAGTGACTTCGGATGAACATAGCTGAGATTGATCAGCTCGACCGCTCCAAGATGGAAAAATAAAGGGGGCGCCACTTGTGGCAAAAAACCACCAAAATCAAAAGGTAGCTGTTTTTAACAAAGGGGTGTATTTTGATGTTTCCATGTTGGTGACCATTGAAAGATAGCCTTTTGCTCAAAACAGGCATCAAACCGGTTGAGGGTATATACCCTGTGGATCCAATGTTGGGTCTATTTGCTGACATTTGCGGTAAACCTTGTTTTTTTGACGTCCGTAGGCATTATTTGACATCCGTAGCCAAAATTTGGCACAAAAGCTGCGGTAACCATAATTTTACCGTAAAATGCTGTGAGCACAAGCGAAAAGTGGTTTGTACCCTTATAAGATGAGCGGTCAATCCTGAACAGATCACGGTTTATCACGTTTTGTCACGGTATTTCCGACAAATGTCATATTTTTAAGTGGCAAAAAAGATAATTCATCACGATTTGTCATGATTTTGAACTGCATATGGCCATGATCAACTCGCATGCGCATCTTCCAAATAGAGGATGCCTGCGGTTTTTTCATGTTTTTTCTCGATTTCCGACAAGATCCGATGGATTTCCGACAGGGTCCGGCAAATGTAACCAAAATCAAGCGTTAACGGAGACGTAGCTATATTTTGACTACATTTCTATTTTTGGTGTATATAACGACATGGATCCTCAGGGATATATGATTAATAATTTTTTTTCTATGTTTTTCTGCGTGCTGGTGCATCCGGTGCAACCCTTGGAATAGAATGTGCGTGTCAAAACAGGTGGGTTTTTCGTGCTTGCGCATGTTGCCCCAGCAAACACGGGGCCATACCCAGTGCATTTCCATTTGCAAGGACGTTTGTGCTTCGAATCATCGTCGCTTTCCAAAAATTGTGGCGCCTTGGCAGCACTGCATCCCGGAAACCTGAAGGATCTCCCCGCAACAAGTATCATCCCAAAAATTTGAATCATTCTGATCATGCCGCCTAGGTTGATCTAATTTGATCCACTGTTTTGATTCAATGCAGGAGAAGTGCATGCCTTACAGGTTGCAGCCTGCAACAATGAAGAAGGTGGATGGGAAGGGGCATGTGCTATGTATGATAAACTGCGTAAAGGTGAACAAAAATTCAATTTTGTCGGCGTGGCTCCGCCACAAGAACACACAGTCCTGGAAGTGCTAAATAGACAAAACATGTAGACAAAGACGTTTCATGATATTTTGATCCCTTGTTTGTCAGTTTCAAGGTCATTGAGGGGATTTGATCGGGGGATTAGCGCGCTGGCCTAGAGGATAAACAACATGCTCTCCTTGGCGTCGAATTCTTTCCTTTGACTTTGGTAATTTTTGGTATGCCGACTTCGCGATTATTTCTGCACCAAATTTTGATCAATTTTGAACCTATCTCTGCTGCAGGACTTTGGCGACTTAGCTTTCATCCCCTGGGCGAGTGTGCATGGCTCGCTGATCCACAAAGCTTGGAGGACCGAGCGCCCCGCGTACCTTTCGTTTCCTTTTGTAACATGCAATTTGTAACAATTTGTAACATATATTATATTAACATAAGTAACATATATATTAACACTTTTGTTCGGAGTTGCTACAGCCGCATGCCAAGTGGGCCATGAATTGTAATTAAGCAGCTTCATTATGCAGCATCAGAACCTAACGAGCCCACCATTCTTTGGTTAATTCTAGTTAGATGGCTGCGGCCTAGTGATGCTTTGCAAGGTTTACCAAGGTTAGACAAAGCACATACTTTGGTCCTCGGGCCACTTCGATGGGACAAGGGATCAAAAGAGTTGATTTCCGGGACGATACTCGCTGGAAATTCAATGGTATTATTCAAGTGTTTCCTGCAGCAGGCTTTCGAATACTAGACTACTAAGCTTGTACTTTCCAATTACACTAGCGGCATTTGCACATACCTGCGCATTCTCCTATCAAAGCTGTGACCAGCTGTGACAGGAAGTGCGGGTTCTGGCATCTCAAGCAGGCCTTGAGTGGATTTTGCCGACACATGTGAGGACACATCCTCATTTCTCACCATAAAATTTTGATCATCCGTTCAGATGATAGCCTTTGATCATGTGTACAGTATCTGTGTATCTATTGTCTCCGTTTGTCTTCGTCTTCTCAGCCGGCTTGGCTCGGTCTTTCACAGCAAGAGCAGTTGCCAAGGCTGTGCCCACAATATTACACGCAAACCTTCGGAGATGCTGGACCCAGAGCTGCCAGAGCTCATGCGCGCTAGTTCCAGCAGTGATGCTGGGGCAAATTTGAGTTACTCGGCTGGCCCCAGCATGCTCCCGCAATGGGCAGACTAGTCTATATTTTATTATATATAATATATTATTTTATGTATATGGGAGTCGTTCGCAAGACTTTTGGTATCGAAGTGACATCTGCAGATATGGACTTGTGATGACTTGTGCTTTTGCTGCCGTGGCGTAAGGCCGCGCACACGAAAACATGATCATAATTCCCTGTCCCAATTCTGCTGGGGCGCGAAAGGGTCCGAAAGCGCGGCGTTTGGGCAGTTTTGGGGAACCATAATTTTGATCAACCCTCATGCAGAGCCGATGATGGGTTTAGTTTGTAGCGGCATAATTGTCAGAGACCTTCCAAGCAGGATATACAAGTCTCCTAAGCATGCATGCAAAGATTTTACAAAAACCAGCCGGCAGCTGAGGCTGGTGGATGTAGATTTGGGTGTGAGATTTGTGTTTTTTTGTGAATCTGTGCCAGAAAAATGGGGATTGTAAGACGAGGCCATGCCAAGGCTTGGAAAAGGAGTGGAGGTGCTTGATATGCAATGGAAAGCAAGGCAAATAGAATACAGGCTAGCATACTGGGTGGCAAAACTAGCTAGTGTAAGTGTAACAGAAGGCTGTTCAAAAAAGGTTCGGAAGTGGAGTGGAGGTACTTGGTAGATAATGGAACTTAAATGGAGTAGAAATATAATTGGGATGCCTAAATATTATTGTGATAGATGTGATCGGACATAGATATGATTGTCGATCTAAAGGCCCATGTACTCGTAGAAATTGTCCATTACAAAGGCCGCCAGGGTTCCAACATTAGAGCCCGCGAAAGTCTTTTTTTGCCTGAGTTTGCGAAAGTCTTTTTTTTTGGCGAAAGATTTAGCGAACGATTTTAAGATGAGACCCCAGCGAAAGATTCACGAAAGTCGATACCTGTTTATTCGCGAAGAATGGCCGTCTGCAGATAAAGGAATTTAGATCAACCGCCATATGCATAAATAAAGGGCAGTAGCGCATGATGGCACGGTGGACAAGATTCTCATGCTTGATTGCAAGGCTTGTGCGCCTTTCCGAGGCTTTATGTTCTCATGGTAAAGACAAAATCTCTTTAAATGTTTCAGACCGCTGGGGATGATACGTATATATGAAGCTGGACAACAAAGCTTTCTTCATAAAGGCAGACGCATTTTGTCAGGAGTTGGGTAATTACACTCCCCATGATAATTACAAAACATCAGGTGTCTTCCCAAGGCCTTTAAGAATAATAGATCATGTAGATCAATGACAATTAGGCTTTCCATGAGAAAAACAGTCTTGCTAAGACCTCTTAGAACTGCGGGTTGATGTCAAGCGAGACAAGCGAGCTTTGCTTTGTTCGAGATAAAGGCTTCCAAGGTCGAGCAGAAAGACAGACGGTTTCTTCTGAAGACCTTTTACTGCAACATGGCAGGTTCATGTCAAGGCAGGCGGCAATGGAGTTCCTTCCTAAGACCTTAAGAACGATAGGTTCACGTCAAGCTGCACAATGGAGCTTCTTTGGCAACATCTGTGAAAAATGATGGGTGCTATCATTTTGGAAACTCCAACTTACCACGATACAAAACAGGAGGCTCATTTCAAACACATAAGAATGATAGGTTCACGATGATCATTTCAGTCTAGAATCTAGAAAGCCACTTTTCATCATGATGATGACGGTGATGGTGATGGTGATGGTGATGATGATGATGATGATGAGGATGATGATGATGTTGATGATGATGATGACGACGACGATGACATGAGGTTGTTTTTGCTAAGACCTTGGAGAGTGACAGATTTTGTCAAGCTGGACAATCAAACTTTCCTTTGTGGAATGGAGATAACAGCTTTCCTACTCGGACCCTGAAGGTGTATAATGAGTATTGAGTATATATAATGAAGCTTTCTGTGAGACAGCCAGAAGATTTATTTCTTCCTACCACGTGTAAGAATGAAAGGCTTATAACATACTGTATATCAAGCCTGACGATGAAGCCTGCTAGGAAAGGCGGACATAGGCGGACCTAAGACCTTTCAGCCAATGCTGCCTGTATAGACCACGTAAACAATTCAGTATTTGGTGGATATTAACAGGCAGGAACCATTTCCTTTCAGCTTTGATTGAGGCTTTGAACACCGCTCATTTGCCATAGTTCAGAGGTTTGTAAGAAAATCCCCGTAACTTCTCAATGTGCCTGTCCCATTTTTTCTCAAATCCCGGAGATGGGCACATACCCCGGAGAAGGGCACTTGACTCTGAACCCTGCAAATATGCATTAAAAAGACCTGGTGCATCCTGGTGCCCTTCTCAATGGTACGTGCCCATCTTAGATGATCACTTGTCCTGAGATAGTCCGCAAATGAGCGAGAACCATCCAGCCCTTCGAATAGTAGCGTCATTGGAAAAGAACCAATGGCAACTACAGTACGTTGTTCGTACGTTGTTCATACGTAGTCAGATCTGAATCAATCACAGATTTAAATTCGTCAGACATAGTCACATAGTTGCTTAAAGCATCTTAAAGCCAAAGGTGTGCATCTTCATCCATGGTGTTTCTTTGAGTGCTATCTCCTGGGTTTCCTGTACCCCGAAGTTCCATTCCTTTGAGCCAAGGTTTTGCCACCCATCCTGGCACTGCTGGGGGATTCTTCGAACCTTTGTCAACGGATGTTTGCGCCATCTGTCACTTTGGCGATCATGATCGCAGCGTTAGGCTTTTGAAACGCGCTGTCACAACATCCCTATCCCTATGACAGCTGCAAGCACTTATGCCACCACACTTATGCCACACAGATTGTGAGCGCGCATGCACAGATATGCATCGCATATTGGATGTTTCTGATCTTGCGGTGGTTTCTAATGTTTCTAGCAAGGACGCTTCGCAAGCCCAAGACGATAAGGATTCAGCATATCCGAAGGTCAAGTGGAACAAAGATGGACAAAGAAGATAAAAGCAGAAAGCATCCGCGTAAATGATGTACATGATTGTAAATGTATGGAACAAATACATAAAAATACACTATAATTATAGTCGGGGACGCCTTGTAAGCAGAGACTGATCTGCTTACTGCATCTGCCAGAGGCCAAAATCAGGCAAATAAGAAATGACCTAAGTAAGGCCTAAGTACAAACACCTGTAGTAAGCAGATATATGAACATATACACCAAAGACAATTTCAGAATCTGCTTACTACAGCTCCGTTGTCCTGAAGTGTTTGTACAGTAGACTTAGTGTCAAGACAGGTACAGTAGACTTAGTGTCAAGATCATGCGGGGGAAAAAAACATTGCCTTGTACCGAGCCTCTTCCCCACGAAAAGTAGGGACAACGCACTAAGCAGGAACCCTCCCTATAATTTGACCAGGGCAGTAAGCAGCTCGGGGCTCCGAACGGGACCTTATATGAATCCCTAAAATACCCTCCTGCTTACTACTTTGCTTTGGCTGGTTCCTGCTAACTGGGTGTCCGTAACTATACATACTATACGAACGCCTGTAATGGTCACATGTTTTTTGAGCCCTTTCAGCGCCAGTGTTGTGGGTGCAGTGTTTCGCCTAAGGCCTTGGCTCCTTGGGTGAGCAGACCTGGATCCGTGGTGAGCCTTGGCAAACAAGGCGGGAAGGATCGGGAAGGTAACATGTGTCAAACCTGTGACACATGATGCATGGTGGCGGCCATGGCGACAATCTCAGTACGCACCTGCCTTTTCTATCCTTGTCTTTAGTACACCTTACTAAGCAAATGACAGCTCATGAGAGTTTATGATGGCTTAGGAGCACTTATAAATACTTATTATTTCATTTCATGAGTTTCAGTGTGTTTATCATGTCCATCATGTTTCAACATGTTCCAATGCTGTTGCACCGGCGCAGCTTTGCCGTCCATGGATCATTTGCAAGAGGATAAGTGTGTACAGGTTATTTCAACTGACAGGGGCTGGACCGATCATACGTCCAGGTAAGGCTGCCAAGCCTTAGAATATGAATTAGAAAGCTTGACTCGGGGCCACCATCTTTAGTTATCATATGTTATATCATGTTATATCTAGATCTTCCCAGTCTCGAGTCTCAAATGTTTCGCTACCGCACGCTATGGCAAATATGCTGGTTTGATTTTGTATGATTTTGTTCGGTACATGATACATATGCACATTTGGCAAACGTACTGGGTTGAAACCCCGCTGAAGCTGCATCAACTTGAATCATGGCTATGGCCACATTTGGCTGTGGAAGCGGGCGGAAGCCATGCCGGTGACTGCAGCTCATGGCTACCCTGCACACTCCGGGGTCTCCAGTGTACCAAATCCAGGAGAGGCAGCTGAAGTGTATAGTGACACTGCCAAGCAGTGGATCCCAGCCACAGTTCTTCGGAGTGATGGATCTGTCATAACTTTGGCCTACAAACGCAATGGAGAGTGCGTGGAGAAGACTCTGCCGTGGCCATGTCGCACCCATTTGCGTTTTCCACGAGCTCTCAGAGATGCCGTACCATTGGCGGCCCCATTGGTGGCCCCATTGGTCCCACGGAGTCGACCAGTGTGCAAAATGGGCATCAAATGCAAAATACGGGAGCCACAGCATTTGACCACTTTTGCACACCCCTTTGATCCAGATTACCAACACTGTCACGCTGGTTTCACTGAGATGGCTTCCTTGCGGAACTTATTCACCTGGGTTGACACTGATGGATCTGGGAAGATTTCACCAAAAGAGCTTCAAGAAGCGCTGCCCTTGCTGGAGCGACTGCATGGAGATCGGTTGATGCTAACCAAGGAATCCTGGGACTTGCTGGACGAGGACCAACTTGTCATACTTGTTCAAGATCGATCATGATTGATGATGACATATCCACAACACTTTCGTGTCTTTGAGGTACTCTAACTTCCGCTAACTTCCTTCATCTCCCATTTTGATCCATTTTGTGCGTCCAATCATGGTTCATGTCCATATGTTTGAGAATGTCTGAGATATCATGTGTGCATGTCCGAACCTGTGTGCAGGATGGCAATGGCGCTGTCAATTTTTTTGAGTTCGCACAATGGGCAGGGCCTCGCTTGGGCACCTCTGCAGGAGGAAGGCAACTATAATTATAAGATATCATAATGTCATAAGAAAATCATAAGAAATTCATAAGATATCACAGGATTTCACAAGTAATCGTATGGCAAGAAATGGTCAGAGCTTTGTGGATGTCCAATGATGTTCAGGTTTCCTGTCATTGCTGGTATTGTTTTGATCTAGAGTTTGTCGATTTTTCATGATTTTTCTAGAGTGGAATGCAAACCTTTTCCAGCTGACTGCTGCGGTTCCTGTCACTCTCAGCTTAGTGTTTTCTCTTCTGTCTAGCTTTGTAAAATAGCAGATGCTAGAGCTGCTAGAGCTGTGCTACTGTAGAGCTGCTAGGGCTCCTAGGGTTCCTAGGGCTGAGATGTGTGAAACATAGTGAAGCGATGTGAAGCGTATTTTGAAGGCGCCTATCCACCAGCTTTGCGCCATCCACCTGCTCTATCCATAGCTATCCGATATCCAGCTGTGCCAGCTGAGGCCTTCCCTTGGGTATTGATGATCTCTTTGAGCCCGCGTGTGGAGCCAACGCCTGCCCTTGTCGTTCCTTTCGACCCCTTTTGGATCTTGCCGAGGATTTGTGTGAGAGTCTCGGCCGACATGGCGAAGTTGGGGGATTTCGGGGGGCTATCCAGATAGCATCGGATAGCATGCCCAAGCTGATTTTGTTCATTTTTGATGATTTATGTTGCATGCTCCACACATGCCTCGTGAAGTCAATTGTTTGCAAGGCGGATTCTTGCAGGATTCAGTTCGACACTGAGGGAACCCAATCTTCCGCAGCGGATTTGTCTTATGAAGGGGACATATCCAAATGGTCTTATAGTAGAGTTACAGACTTTGATATTTTATGAACGTGCATCCGTGCATACATTCTAAGGGCACCCGCACGTATATATATATATATAATTAATATTTAATTAATTATATGATATTCTGATATATTCTACAGGTGTGTAAGAATTATATAATGATATAAATTATATACATACTGTATTTATTATATGCGTGTTTATAACTGTTTACACACACACATATATATATACATATGTGTATACATATGCACAGACACATGCACACACACACAAACACATACATGGGACACCTATGTGTATTATGTATGTATAGTATATTGATGTGTATTTGCATGTTGTTTCGCCTGCATTATCTTGCATTAAAAGGAGCAAGAAAGAAAAGAAAGAAAAGAAGGAGAAGAGAAAGGCAGGAGACCGTGGGAGACGCTGTGTCAAAGTCTCCAGACTTATGCAGACTCCTGAGTCTGCTGGCATGCAATCACATGCTCCTCGATAGTAGCCGTGGCCATTGCAGTTGCAGCTTGGCAAGTCTTGCAGGACAAAAAGCACAAAAAGGAGCATTGGCATGTTGTTGCAACTGATCGAACCTTGTCTCCAAGCAGCCCCTGGTGTGCGAGTTCAGGGTTGCCAGATTTTGCCACTCTGAAGTCTGAAACTGACAGATATTTGCGCTGGACTATGTTCATCTCTTTCAGGCCTGGCCGATCGCTTGCAGACGTGCCAGTGCGGCCACAAGCGAATGATGCACCGACTTTCGCGACCTGCCTGTGCAGTCGCGCCTTTTCCATGTCACTGGAAAAGTCGTGCAGGAGAGGTTCACACCTGAAAATGTTACAATATGTTGCAATCATTACATAAAGATACATACTCGTAGTGGACTGTAAGAACCTCCGCTTCAAATATCACTTTACAATTAGAGAGAGAAATTGCAGAAAGCGGTGTGCCTTGATCCGTGAATGCGTCTTTGTGTCGCCTGTTCTTTTCGCATGTTTTTTGTGCGAAGCGTTCATGACTGAGGAGAATCATGAGTCATTAGGAAAATGTTGTAAAAGATTATAATGGGTTCTGCATTCATGCAGTGATTCAGACTAGATTCTTATTTTCCTGGTCGCGTGTGCTTTTGAATTTATTAAACGGCACTGGTCCAAAAATCAAAGGCGCCCGCCTTGGAATCTGGGCCACTTGAGCATTGGGCCAAATGGGCAAATTCAAAAGAAAGAGAGGTTTGAACATGTTTGAACCTGGTTCGCATTGGCTATTCTCAAAGCCGCTGACAAGTTAAAATGGGTAGCACGCAAAGTCATGTGTTGTACAACATTATACGTACAACAGCACTCTTGCAAGAAGTGATGATACTAGCAATACGAGTGCGGGGAGCTTCCTGTTTTTGTTTGCTTCCTTCTTCGAGCTGCATCCTGGGAGGAACCGATTGTGCAGCCAGCTGCAACGAAATCGTTCAATTGGAAGCAGGGCATTTGCCATTTCTACAACAGCTTGTGAATAGTACCTACAGCAACGTTTGGACGCGTGATCGGCGAAGACATCATCCAGAAACTTGGCACAAACAATGCATCGATACACACGGACATGCTTTCAAATTCCTCATCGCAGGGCGATGGCAGCACTTTGATGTTGAGTGCAGCACATGCTAGCTGCTAGAAGTTTACCAGACATTGCTAGGCATTGCCAGACATTGCTAGACACAAATGTCATAAAGATTCAACCCCAGCAGCTGCACATTAAAATTACAGTGACATCACAATTGCAGACCTTGAAAGAACTTGGACTAATCAAAGGGCAGGAAAGACAAAGAATCGATATCTAAAATGCACACTGCACGTACGTATATACATATATACATATGTACACTGTACTACTATATATATATATAAGATTTTTTGAACGAATAACTGATAAACACATATCAAAACAAGATTGCACCAAAGTCGCGCAGACCCATGATGGATCTCTCAAGCAGTCACCAAAGGTCAGACTTTTCTTGAAAGGTGATATCCATGGCATTTAATGATCGCTCTCAGAGTAGAAGATTGAAGGTATGCCAGGTTGCTTTCTCACCTACATAGTCTTGAGGGTCACCGTAGGGTGCAATCGTTTTTTGGGCCAAGCTACCATTACCCTTTATGTTCACGACTGCAGATGATATTGCATGCACCAGAAGCTGAATAATCTAGGCAAATGCAGATGCTTCTGCTTGCTTCTGCATTTTTGGAGAGAGGGATCCGACCGCAAACCGAGGGAGAACATGGGAGAACTGATTAGTTTCCGATTAGTTTCCGTCTTTGACAGCCGTGGCTCGCTTTTCTGAAACGCCCTGTGTCATCTGTGTCCGCCTGTGCCCACTCGAAGGAACCCTTCTCATCCCTTCTCCTGCTTGTGGTAATTCCTAGTGGGCCGGAATCCCAACAGCCAAACAAACGATTGCTACTGTAAGCCATTTTAAACAAACATTGCTATTCATATCTATTCATTGCTTTCATTCTTTCATAGTCTTTCTGATGCTCAGTTTTTTGATGATTTCATTTGTTGTGACAACAGCTGAGAGCCATCCAAGATTTCCCGTTGTTTTACTACTGTATACGTATATATATATATATTGTATATATATATGTGTGTGTGTGAGTGTTTATATTATTTCATCATATTTTATTTGTATTCACCCCAGCTTTGGAGAATGTATATAAGTTGGTAGGAATGCTGGGACATATTGGGAGCTGGTGGGAGAAGGTTCTAAAAGCAGCCTGTTGATTGACAAGAAACTCTTTCATTACTTTTGGGCCTTTGGGTTTGTTTCAGAAATTTTCTATGATTTCCTTACTTTATTACTGTAGCATTGCTGGTTGTTAGGACACGCCAAATGTACCGAGCGGATTTCGAGTTTCTCGGGCTTATCGGTTTGAAAATGGCAAGAGCTGGCAAGAATTTTCTATTCGACGTGCTGAGCTCCTCGCAGATGCGAAGGACAACCCGATCCAACGGTATGAAGTCCTGACGGGAAAGGTTTGGGCGAAATACGCACTGCACTTTGGAATCGAGGAATTGGCTCATTCGTGCAATGAATGGATGCTGTTTCATGGGACGTCACCCGCAGCAGCTCTGGCTATTTCTAGAAGCGATTTCCGCATTGACCTTGCAGGAGGGAGTACTGGAACGTTATACGGCCGAGGCACATACCTTGCCGAGAGTATAACTAAAGCAGATGAGTACGCAAAGGCCGCCGGTGGAGAGTATGCGATGCTACTTGTCCGTGCACTGGGTGGTCATGTCCGCTATTGTGATGAGGTGGAGCCAGATGCAGAAGACTTAACCCGGAGCTGTATAGAAGGCCCATACGACTGTGTCCTTGGAGATCGTCAGAAGTGCCGAGGTACATACAAGGAATTCATTTTCTTCGACACTGAAAATATGTACCCAGAATACATCCTCATCTATGAGCGAATAGGGGCATCGTGAAAAAGGTGGCAGACCTCCTAGTTTGATGTGGGCTTTGGGCTAGTAGTCCTTATCTTACCCGATGCTCTTGATATTCTCGAAGACTTAACACGTTCTACCAGGATGAAAGATACTCGCCACGGTATGCAATTGTCCCGGAGATGTTGGTTGATCATTGATATGAGTTGATATGATTTGCACAGGGGTGCCAGGCACAAACCATACAGAATGACCCCAGCCGCATACACGTGACGTGATGCGCGCTGCCTTTATTTCGCATTGCGTCCTCAGTTCAACACACGTAATTAATGTAATTATACGTATAGATAGGCTTCATCCTGGAACATCTGGAACAGCCATTGCACAATGCACGTGCCAGATTTACATGGGCGAGGTATTGCAGTTGCACAAACCTATTGGGTATACTTGGGGGGATTCTTCTTGTTTGTTGCTGTTTGCAGGTGCGGGCACTACTTCCACAGGTTGTGCTTGCGCCGCCACTTGAGGATATCCGTGGAGTCCATGGAGATTCTTGGTAATTAATGCTTGAGCATGCGTAAGCTCATCTAAATGGGGTTAATTTTTTTATTATATATTGTTTATTATTGTTAAATGCTGAAGTATGTATGTAGGGATAATGTGTGTGAGAGAGGGGGCAAGGAAGAGATTCAAAACTGTAATGCAACTCATTGCATATAACTCAAATTGCGTCGAACCAGTATGAGAGCCGTAGATTATATGCAGCTTCTGGATACGAAACCGTCTGAAATGTTTACAGAATTCTATTTTCTGATGTTTCAGCATTTGATTTGTAAAGAGGGTTGCTGAAGATACAGCAAAAATCACTTTGATTCAGTGATTCCGATCAAGTACACCGAACAGTGTTGTCTTTATTCTCTTGTGAAGATAAGGCCAGGCCAGAAAAGGTGCATTGTGGGATGTTGTTTGGACTGCGTTGCTGCCAGTTCGCTGTCATGCTAAGGGACCAAAAGTTGGACAGCGTTTCTTGGATTTTATAGCAGGATGATTCTAGATTCTAGAGCGAATGATGTGAATTCCGTTTTCATGGTCATGGCACATCATGGCACTGGCACTGCATGTGTATCATTATGTATCCATTCACTTAATGAATTATCTTGACCCAAACCGGATCTGGCTGTGCACTGCAAGCTTTCAAAATCAAATATCTTCCCATCCGTTATCCAATTAATGGAGCCAGAAGCTTTGGCATCTTTGGAATCTTTCATCGAAGACCTGGGGCGGTTCACCGACTGAGGGCGCTTGCCCAAATTGTCGACTGCCTGGCGCAGCTTTGGGGACCACAAACTGTCCAGCCAAGCCGCTTTCCTGGCAGTTGATGGAGGCGACGCAAGAATCTCACAGAGAGCCTCACAGTATCAAATGAGAACCTCACAGAACCAAATGCGGTCCGCAAAGCCGCGGTTGCTGTGATATGTTGTGATCAGGATCGTGCAGTTCAGTTCATGCAGTTCATGCAGTTTATGCAGTTCATGCACCAAAGTTATCCAAACTCTCTTTTGATTCCAGGACATCAGGTCCGAGCCGTTGCAGATGGAAAAGGAATATCGTTTCCTTGCAGTCCTATGCCAGGATCCAGAGGCGAGAGATTCTTTGGCGTGTCTTTAATCATATGTCATTGATTGTCATTGATTGTCATTGATTGTCATTGATTGTCATTGATTGTCATTGATTGTCATTGATTGTCATTGTTTGTCATTGTTTGTCATTGTTTGTCATTGATTGTCATTGATTGTCATTGATTGTCATTGATTGTCATTGATTGTCATTGATTGTCATTGATTGTCATTGATTGTCATTGATTGTCATTGATTGTCATTGATGGTCATTGATGGTCATTGATGGTCATTGATGGTCATTGATGGTCATTGATGGTCATTGATGGTCATTGATGGTCATTGATGGTCATTGATGGTCATTGATGGTCATTGATGGTCATTGATGGTCATTGATGGTCATTGATGGTCATTGATGGGCATTGATGGTCATTGATGGTCATTGATGGTCATTGATGGTCATTGATGGTCATTGATGGTCATTGATGGTCATTGATGGTCATTGATGGTCATTGATGGTCATTGATTGTCATTGATGGTCATTGATGGTCATTGATGGTCATTGATGGTCATTGATGGTCATTGATGGTCATTGATGGTCATTGATGGTCATTGATGGTCATTGATGGTCATTGACTGTCATTGACTGTCATTGACTGTCATTGATTGTCATTGATGGTCATTGATGGTCATTGATGGTCATTGATGGTCATTGATGGTCATTGATGGTCATTGATGGTCATTGATGGTCATTGATGGTCATTGATGGTCATTGATGGTCATTGATGGTCATTGACTGTCATTGATTGTCATTGATTGTCATTGATTGTCATTGATTGTCATTGATTGTCATTGATTGTCATTGATTGTCATTGATTGTCATTGATTGTCATTGATGGTCATTGATGGTCATTGATGGTCATTGATGGTCATTGATGGTCATTGATGGTCATTGATGGTCATTGATGGTCATTGATGGTCATTGATGGTCATTGATGGTCATTGATGGTCATTGATGGTCATTGATGGTCATTGACTGTCATTGATTGTCATTGATTGTCATTGATTGTCATTGATTGTCATTGATTGTCATTGATTGTCATTGATTGTCATTGATTGTCATTGATTGTCATTGATGGTCATTGATGGTCATTGATGGTCATTGATGGTCATTGATGGTCATTGATGGTCATTGATGGTCATTGGTCATTGATGGTCATTGATGGTCATTGATGGTCATTGATGGTCATTGATGGTCATTGATGGTCATTGATGGTCATTGATGGTCATTGATGGTCATTGATGGTCATTGATGGTCATTGATGGTCATTGATGGTCATTGATGGTCATTGATTGTCATTGATTGTCATTGATTGTCATTGATTGTCATTGATTGTCATTGATTGTCATTGATTGTCATTGATTGTCATTGATTGTCATTGTTCTTGTAGGGTAACGCAATCTTCAATTGGACAATTTGGAAGCACAGTGGGCATGGATTTTCTTTCCTACAAGCTACAATTGTTCTTTGCACAATTGAATCCTCTGAAGGGCTTTCACTTCGTCATTTTTTTACAATTTCCCCTGAGAGATGGATGTCATTGGCCAGGCAGTCGTGCACAGCTACTCGCCGCGAGTAGTCACACGTGGTCGTGTGACTTGATGCGTGCAACGTCATGACAAGTCATGACAAGTCAGTCACAGTTTTGGGAGTGAACTCTTCCAACGCTTGGCCCAGGCTCCGTGTTTCTGGTGCAGAAGACAATCAAGTTCAAAGACCTCCCAGACTGATGAAAGACGGTCCCAGCATGGCATGCGGATTCTCTTTCAAGTCTGGTGGACCCACTTTGAAGACATTGTTTCCTTTTCTACTCATGCAGACATGGATAGAAATCGTTTACCATCATTGTTGTTTACATGACCTGAATGAATCTGAATGTAAACAAAATTAGACATGTATGATCTTGTATGGACACATGTGGATGTATGTCTTGGGTATGTATATGTATACTATATATATATATATAGCGAATATATATAGCGACGGACAATCACTTAGAACATCCTTTGGAAAACACTTTTTTGAGTACACTGAAAGCTATGTTTAAGAACATCCAGAAATCCCCATACTTAGAACATCCCAAGACAGTACAACTGTCAGTTTTCATGGTTCAGCCATTTGAACATTTCACTTCCGTTGGCAGAACATGTCATTCATGTATTTTTGACGTTCCTTTTTCATCTCAAAAGGGACCCCTTCAGCCTCTCTGACAAACGTCAGAGCGCTGGCTACTGCCTGTTTTGGGTGTTTCACGAAACACCCTGGTGCGACGCCATAGACTGGCGGCTTAGCCGATCGTGAGGAGCGGCTTCGAGAAAAGGGTGCTGCAACAAATCGAGAAGTGTAACAAGTTCTTCATCGGTGCTGCCTGCACTTTCTCTTTTTGCCATTGCTGCCAGTGTCGCACTGACACTGGTAGCGGAGCGCTGCCTGAGATCTTCCGCGAGAGTGGCAACGCGGAGTGGAAGGTCTGCAAGGGCCTTGGGGTGAGCCTCATTGCGTGTGACAAGCAGAACCTCTTGGACCTGGCTTTGCTGCAATCACTGCTTGAGCCTGGAACTTTGCCTACTTTGGTTGGCGACGCAATCAGAGCTCGAGGGGTGCAGAATATCCACATAGTGGTGCAATCACTGCTCGTGTGACGGAGTTTGACCCGATTGTCCTCCTGATCACGATGGGTGACAAAGACAAGGATTTTCGATGTGGCTGGGATGGCGACATCAGTACCTTCCCAGACTATGTGCGCCGGGTGAGGTTGATCTTCGAGAAGACGAGACGGAGGCGCCGCAAGCATCTTGGCCCCGATCTCGTGGCCCAATTGACAGGCCGTGCATGGGTCATCACCCAGGAGATCGACCACACCAAGCTGACTCAGGACGATGGTGCTCGGTACCTCGTGGACTTCTTGGAGGAGAAGCTCGCCCGAGTACCAGTACCTGATGCAGGTGTTCGTGCAGAAGAACTTTTAGTTCGTCTTCGCCGACCACCTGGGATGACGATGGCTACCTGGTGCGCAACTGCCAGGGAGTCCTACAGGAAGTTGCAAAGGGCTCTCAAGAGGGCAAGGCCGGCATCACAAGCGCCGACTAGCCCAGGCCGTGAGAGCTCAATGGTTCCTTCGCCCTCCACTTTGCGAAGGGATGTGCAATCTCTTGGGACCCCGACACCTGGCTCTTCAGCGACTTCACCTTCGAGGCGATCCCGCAGAGCTTCAGCTGGCACAGTGCCAGAACCAGAGCAGATGCCGACTCCAGAACGTCAGGCACAAGCTGCTTCAGCAGAACCTCATGGAGATGGAGCAGAAGATGAAGAAGAAGTTGAAGAGTTTGGAGAAGACCCCATCACAGGGGAAACGTCCTTCCAACGTGGCGTTGCGAAGGGCATGGGAAAAAGTTTGAATCGCCCTCCAAGTCGCGCTCTGGAAAGCGCAAAGCTGCAGAAGACTCCAGTTCGTCTTCTGATGGTGGCACTGCTTGGCACATGAAGCAGTGGTCTGAGATGGACTCCGGCCTTCCAGAAGTTCTTCCTACGGAACTGCTGGGTTGGTTGATGTTGAGGCGCTGCAACCTCACAGCTCAACAAAGGCTCAACATCTTGAGCACCACCGGCAACTCGCTGAAGGCGGAGGACATCGAGAATGCGCTGAGAGGTGCCGAAGATGAACTACGAGTTCAAGAAGATGCCAAAGGAAAGGGCAAGGGTGGCAGATCCATCAACCGCCCAAACTTTTGGATCGAAGAAGGTGGAGAATGGGGATTGCTAGCTGCAGATGAAGCTGAATTCCTGGAAGGAAGTCTGGATGATGTCCACTGGGTCGGCAAAGACATTGCCGCCATCTATGGGGCTACCTCGACTTCACCGCCTTCGACGACCTCAAGCCATCCTATGCCTGCTGAGCCCAAATGGACTTCAGTTTCAAATGGGTACTGGTTCCAAGATGAGTGGGGCCAATTCACCTTCTGGTCACAGCATCAAGATGGCGAGTACTACACCATGGACGACGACGGCGTCTACTGGACATGGCCTGAGTTCATGGAGGAAGCTGCATGGTGGAGTGCCTCGCCGGAGCAACAGAAGGAGATCAATGATGCCTTCGCTGCCTATGACCAGAAGATCCGCTCTTTCATGGAATCCCGTGAGCTGCTGCGCAACAAGGGCGCCAGCAGAGGATACTACAAAGGTGGCAAGCCTTTTGGAAAAGGCAAAGGCAAAGGCTTGGGAAAAGGGAAGTCCAAGCCATCTTCATCGGCTGGACAGACGTTCTTCCAGAACCAGCCGAGTGATGTGCTTGCATCTGTTGGCCAGCCAGGCTACACTGGATGCTTTGTGTGCGGAAGCAAGTCTCACGACTTCCGCTCCTGCCCTCAGCGCGGTGGAAAAGGAAAACCTTCGACCGCCAAGGGTGGAATCTACATGGTGACCGATGTGGAGGAGACCGCAGCTGTGGCTTTGCCGTCTTCTTCGACCAGGCCTTCATCGATCGAAGATGCCTGGGCTGCTCATGTGGCGAATCCAGATCTCCGTGGACACGCCGTTTTGGACACAGGCGCAACGGAGACAGTGACTTCGCTGGCTGCATTGGAAGCCATTCACAGGCGAAGGACAGAATTGTTGGGTCACACAGATCATGTTGAAGTTGTTCCGGGTCCGGGGAAAGTTTTTAGGTTTGGTAATGGTCAAACACAACAATCAGAAAGTTTCGTTTATTTGAAGCAGCAGGTAGGAAACCATGAGATCAAGTTGGGCGCGTATACGATAGATGCGTCAGGAGTGCCCCTGCTGCTGGGGATAAGAACCCTTGAGAGGTTAGGTGCGATCTTAGACACCAAGCAAGGTTTCTTGGTGATAAAGACGGTCGACCTGACCCTGGTAGTCCCTTTGAAAAGGTCTCCGACCGGACACCTTCTTTTGGATTTGTGTTCCAATTGGCTCGATGGTGGTGCCAAAATCCTGTTCCAGACCGAGATTTCTCCCATGTCGGTTGAGGAAAA